AATCAACTCCATGTTGTCCTGTTTCATAAATAGTATTGTCAGCAGCAGATTGTTAAATTTCTAGCCTGTCTTATGTTACACAAATCATATGTCGTTTTATCGCCAATCGTAGCTTCAGCTCAGCAGATTGCTTCCCCTGGACAGAGTATATCCAACAGTGAAACAGATTGGCCACACTGGTTAGACAAAAGTCCAAAAGGGTCAGGTGTGAAAACATAAACCTCGACCACGTCCTAGTCCTATCCTCCTTCGCCGGGATCAGAGGGACTTTCCCTTGCCGTTACTTGGAACTGCAGTTACACATTAGAGCACTGCAAAAAATTCATGTCCAACCCCCTCATCGAGCGCATTGGTCAGAGGCTACATGCATGGAAGGGAGGTGGCTAAACAAAGCCGGCCGCCTCATCCTTGTCTCCTCCGTCCTTTCCTCCATGCCAATCTACCACGAATAGTGTTCCCTCTAACAGCTTGGGCAAAAAAGAAACTAAACAAAACCAGGACGATCATTCTTCAGGAAAGGTGATGAAAACACAAATGGAGGCCACTATCTAGTTAACTAGCCCACGGTCACTAGACCAAAAGACATTGGAGGCCTAGGGCTGCAGACCTGGAGAAATTTGGAAGAGCTCTTCGTCTCAGTGGCTTTGGCAGGAATGGGTGCACGAGTCCAAACCATGGAGGGGTCCGACCTTTCTTGCAATAAGGCTGACAGGCTACTCTTCAATACATCAACCATAGTCACGGTTGGAGATGGCCAAAAACCCCCGTTTTTTTACAGTGATTCTGGAAGGGGAAGCGCCAGAAATTTAGCACCCCACCTCTTCCAAGCTGGTAAGGAGGAAAAACAGGACGGTCCAACAAAAGCTACACAACGGTGAAAAGCCCTAGTTTGGTTTTGATAATCGATTAAACCTATTTGGACTAATTCTTGCATCTAAGTGTGTGACTAGATAGGATGGTCCAACCCAAAGTGATGGAGCTAGGTGGCACTCATGGATGATGTTGGTGGACTCATGTGATGATCAAGCTCCGGACTTTGGAAAAGAAGAAAGAGAAACAAAATGGGCTCAAGGCAAAGGTATAATGAATAGGACCATTTTGTTTTCGGTGATCGAGACACTATATAGAGTGTGATCACATTTAGGATAGATGGTCGTACTATTAAGAGGGAAGCTCTTATCGGACAACTCGATCATCTAGTGCCACTAGGTGTTGAAAAACTTGCATATGCATTCTAGGCCTAGTGCACATTCGGTGAGAAAGTGATTAACCTTTGAAAAATGATTGTGAAAATTCTAACACACTTGCACATGATTGTGAGACACTTGGAGTGTTAGCACATTTGCAAAGGTGGTGAAAAAGGTGAAGAAAAGGAGACGTAACCGGGCTTGAAGTGCTGTCCCTAGGGCACCGCCATGCCCTGTCCGGTGCACTGCCACCCTAGCTGAGGAGGCCAAGAGGGAGGTGTTCTGGTGGGGCACCGTCACCCTGTCTGGTGGCACCGCCACCCCTAGGGCGGTGCCCACCTAACCCCGCCCGAACAGCAGCAGAGTGAGCACGGACACCGGTGCGTTCGGTGTACACCGTCACGGTGAGGGCGGTGCACCGCCTGGTCATCGCCACTAGTGGGGCGGTGCCACCACTGCTTTTCAGCTGAGAGCGAGGGAAATGGGGCTGGGCACCGCCGTGGGCACCACCACCCCTAGGGCGGTGCACCGCCATAATTTTCCAGAGACTGGTGTTTTCGGGCAGCTGGCTAGGTGGTCATCGCCACTCCAGGGGCGGTGCCACCGTCGCCTGTCCGGTACCCCAACGACTAGTGATGACCGTTGGAGGGGCACCGCCACCCCAATGTCTAGTGATCGCACCGACATGTCCGGTGAGCTTGCAGAAAGTGCTTCAAAGGGGTAACGGCTCTATTTGCTTGTGGGCTTATAAATAGAGGGTGTGCACCTCTTACACTTACATACACCCTTGGGAGCTGAGCACACCACTCCACTCACTTGCACACTTGATTTTATTATTTTGAGTGAGATTGGAGAGCCTCTAGTGCATTGCTTAGTGGTCTAGCATCTTATGGCACTAGTTGGGCGATTTGCGCTGGTGGAGAACTTATTACTCTTGGTGTTTACTGACACCTAGACGGCTCGGTGATTGGTGGATCGTCGAGCGGAGGAAGGTGATTGTCTCCGGCTCCGATCATTGTGATTGTGAGGGATTCTTGTGTCTTCCCCGGCGGAGCGCTAAAGGCAACTCTAGTAAATTGCACGTGGCTTGTAGATCCTCATCTTGTGTTGGTTGTGCGGCACCCGGTTGCGGGTTAGGCGTGTGATGCCTATTAGCGCGTGAACCTCCAAGTTAGTGAATCGCCACAACGGTCACTAGCTTGCCGGCAAGTAAGTGAACCTCGGTGAAAAAATTGATTGTGTCATCATTGTCTCTTTGGTATTTATTGGCATTCATTATTTGATCACTTGCCTCGACGATATATCTCCACTACTCTATCTTGCATTTACTTTCTTAATGTAGCTAAGCTCTTCAGTGTAGTTAGTTTTGAGAGCTAGCTTTTTGCTTGTGTAGTTCGGTTAATTAGGCTCTTTAGTTAGTTTTTGAGAGCTCACTAATTTAGTGGTAGTGACTGGTAGGTGACTTGCATTTTTAGTAGGCTAGCGTAAAACTTGCTTCGCCTTTTATTTGCCTAACCACTTAGCTTAAGTGTTGTTGTAGAAATTTTTATAGGCTATTCACCCCCCTCTAGCCATTACGACCTTTCAACGGGACATGGATACACTCTTATGGATAAGATCACCACTCCTATTCACATTGAGGAGTTCGTCTCCCTTTGGATCAGAATTCAATTGTCCAGCTAACTCCGGGCGTTCGAGACACCATAGCTTAGAAATGGACGGCCAACGACTGCTACTCCACCTGATCAGCATACCGAATCCAGTTCAGCGCCTCCTATAAAAGATTCCGGTATAACCAAATCTAGAAAGCGCAGGTAGAAAACAAATGCAAAGTTTTTGCTTGGATTCTGGTTCAAGAAAAAATACTAACGGCGGATAATTTACAAAAAAAAGGGGATGGCCGCACCAGGAACACTGCGTTCGGTGCGACGGACCTTTGGAAACTGGTTTACACCTAGCCCTCTAATGCCTTTTCGCCAAGGCGGTGTGGAACCAGGTGCTGGCATGGGAAGATTTCGACACCCAACTCGCCAATACACGACCAGAACCGATGTATATACATGATTGGTGGGACAAAGCCGTGCAAAAGGTGCCCAAGCCGATGAAAAGAAAGTTCAACGGAGTGAGCGATCTACGTAATATGGAACATTTGAAAGAAAAGAAATCGACGAATATTCAACAACACTTCAGAGTCACCAATGCAGTTGACCTCCAGAGTTAGGGAAGATATTGTGCAAAGAAAGAGAGCCAGCTTAGGGCCTGTTTGGATTGAGGGAATTCAAAAGGGATTTTAAAGGAATGCATTCCTATGAAAAGATTTAGAAGGATATGTATGGAATGGAGGAAACGGACATACTGTTCCTTTGGAAAGGATTCATTGGTTGCACAAAAGGTAGGAAAAGAAAGAATCCACACAGAACCAAGAGAAATCTTCGTCGCTCGCTCTGTTGCTCGTGACGCTTGCTAATCATGGCCTGGCAGTCAGGTCTTGCCACCCACCACGCATTCTCACGAGCCCAGCAGCTCGCGCCGACGCCGACGCCGACGCCGGTGCCTGCCGTGGTCGCTCGCACTCACTCGGCTGTTCGGTCAGTCGCGCCGCCACGGTTTGCGCCCGCATCGCTGCAGCTCGCGCGCTGGGTCGTCCACGGTGCTCGCACGCTCGGTCGTCCACGCCGCTCGCACTCAAGTTGTCGTAATTGATTTGTAAAATCCTGTGTTATAATTCCTACGATCCGAACACCTCTATCTACGTCTTTCCTGTGTTTTCACATTCCTCTTTTCCCACAACACCTACACCCCATTCATGCATTTTTTTTTCTTTCCTCTGTTTTGTATTTCTGGGTTCCAAACAGGCCCTTAGAGAAGGGATAAAACCCATTTGTTGAATATGGGGTCTTAACCGCATGTTTTGTTTGCCCTCGAGAGCTATTTCCCTTGCACGTAAAACTCTCTTTCCTCTATTTTAATTGAAGCCGTTAGGGTGAAAAAAAGTCCAAAAGGGTCAAGCCCTAAAGCGGGAATCGACGGCGGGTGGTCAGAATTCGCCGGAAGGAGTCGGGAGATCAGATGTGCCGGCAGCACATTTGCGCCACTCGATCAGGGATCGGTGCCAGTATGCCACTGACTGATCCGATCAGGTTCAGATCTCCATCTGCCAAACCGAACTGCAGAGCGGGTCGCCTCGCCAGTCGCCGCACTCTTCCCGCCAGCCAACTTCCCGTCCACGGTCCACCCGCTCCCGCCACCGTATCCGTAAACCCAATCCCCTTTCCCCTAGGGGACATGCTGCGCGCGGGCCTCCGCCTCCCCTCCACGCTCACGAGCTCGTAGTCGTCGCCTGCCGCTCCTGCACCGAGCGGCCAACCCGCTCCGCCGCCGCCGATGGAGGCCACCGGCCGGGGGCTGTTCCCGAACAAGCCCACCCTCCCGGCGGGGCCGAGGAAGCGGGGCCCGCTCATCCCGGCCGCTCCCCCGCCGCCGTCGCCCTCCTCGCTCCCGCTCGACTCGCTCCTGCTCCACCTCACCGCGGCGGCGGCGCCGGCCCCGGCACCCGCGCCGCGGCGGTCGCACCCGACACCGACGCCGCCGCACTCCTTCCTCTCCCCCGCCGCGCAGGCGCTCGTGCTCGCCATCTCCTCGCACCCGCTCCCCACACTCCCGGCCTTCCTCGCCTCCCGCCGCGACGAGCTCCTCCGTGCTGACATCCCGTCCCTGCTCAAGGCGCTCGAGCTCTCGGGGCACTGGGAGTGGGCGCTCGCGCTCCTCCGATGGGCCGGCGCCGAGGGCGCCGCCGACGCGTCCGCGCTCGAAATGGTCGTCCGCGCGCTGGGGCGCGAGGGCCAGCACGACGCCGTCTGCTCGCTGCTCGACGAAATGCCGCTCCCGCCCGGGTCCCGCCTCGACGTCCGCGCCTACACCACCGTGCTGCACGCGCTCTCCCGGGCAGGTCGGTACGAGCGCGCGGTCGAGCTCTTCGCCGAGCTCCGGAGGCAGGGGGTGGCGCCCACGCTCGTCACCTACAACGTCGTGCTCGACGTGTACGGCCGGATGGGTCGCTCGTGGCCGCGGATTGTCGCCCTCCTGGATGAGATGCGGGGCGCCGGGGTCGTGCCCGACGACTTCACCGCCAGCACGGTGATCGCCGCGTGCTGCCGTGATGGGCTTGTTGATGAGGCGGTGACATTCTTCGAGGACCTCAAAGCCCGGGGCCACGCCCCGTGCGTGGTCACGTACAATGCGCTGCTCCAGGTGTTTGGCAAGGCCGGAGACTACACCGAGGCACTGCGCGTGCTCAAGGAGATGGAGCAGAACGGCTGTCAGCCAGATGCTGTGACGTACAATGAGCTCGCTGGAACATATGCCCGGGCTGGGTTCTACGAGGAGGCTGCCAAGTGCCTGGACACAATGACATCCAAGGGTTTATTGCCAAACGCATTCACATATAACACCGTGATGACAGCTTATGGGAATGTTGGGAAGGTGGATGAGGCGCTTGCTCTGTTTGACCAGATGAAGAAGAGCGGGTGTGTGCCGAATGTGAACACATACAATCTTATCCTTGGCATGCTTGGCAAGAAATCATGGTTCACTGTGATGCTAGAGATGCTTGGAGAGATGTCAAGGAGTGGATTCACACCAAATCGGGTCACATGGAACACAATGCTTGCAGTCTGTGGGAAGCGTGGCATGGAGGACTATGTCACCCGGGTTCTGGAGGGGATGAAGTCTTGTGGAGTTGAACTGAGCCGAGACACCTACAACACCCTGATAGCTGCATATGGTCGGTGTGGCTCAAGGACTAATGCTTTCAAGATGTACAATGAAATGACCAGTGCTGGATTCACCCGCTGCCTGACCACATACAACGCATTGTTGAATGTGCTATCGCGACAAGGTGATTGGTCCACTGCTCAGTCAATCGTAAGCAAAATGAGGACCAAGGGGTTTAAGCCGAATGATCAGTCATATTCACTACTGCTCCAATGTTATGCAAAGGGGGGCAACATTGCAGGGATAGACGCAATTGAAAAAGAAGTTTACGGAGGTACTGTTTTCCCAAGTTGGGTTATCTTGAGGACCCTTGTCATTGCCAATTTCAAGTGCCGACGATTGGGTGGCATTGAGAAGGCGTTTCAAGAGGTAAAGGCCAGAGGTTACAATCCTGACCTCGTCATATTCAACTCCATGCTGTCAATGTATGCAAAAAACGGGATGTACAGTAAGGCCACCGAGATCTTGATTCAATCAAGGAGAGCGGCCTGAGCCCCGACCTCATCACTTACAATAGCTTGATGGACATGTACGCAAAGTGTAGCGAATCGTGGGAGGCTGAGAAGTTACTGAATCAGCTCAAAAGCTCTCAGGTGAAGCCTGACGTTGTGTCCTATAACACGGTCATAAACGGATTCTGCAAGCAAGGGCTGATTGAGAAGCTCAGAGGATCCTCTCTGAGATGTTTGCTGACGGCATGGCTCCCTGTGTCGTAACCTATCACACACTGGTTGGGGGATACGCCAGCCTGGAGATGTTCAGCGAAGCTAGAGAGGTTATCAACTACATGATTCAGCACAACCTGAAGCCTATGGAGCTGACCTACAGAAGAGTAGTCGACAGTTACTGCAAAGCGAAGCGATTCGAGGAGGCTCGCAGTTTCTTGTCTGAGGTTTCAGAAACTGACCATAATTTTGATAAGAAAGTGCTGCATACGCTCGCAGCCTATATAGAGGGTGCACAGTTTGGAAGGTAGGCTGCCTGTGCTAAAAGGTGGACTAGGTACAGTTTGGAAGGTTTCTTTGGTTACAGGCAACTGGCAGTTTGCAATTTGCATGGTACGTATATGCTCAAGTTTTGATAGGCAAGATTACTAATAATCTTGAAGAGCCCGCGCTTGTCAGAGACGGCGATAATATTGCACCTTGCAAATGGTGCTGTATGATGTCAAAATAGTCTCATTCTTCAACCGGTGTATAGTGTACCTATAACCACATTCTGTTGTGCATACTTTAGACTGCAACAACCTGAAGCCTGAAGGGCAGCTGATGTATGATGTATCATTCGATTTCTTCTAAATATAAATTGCACCATTCAGGTGATCTCAAATGGGCAACCTCATCAGTTAGCAGCATCCTGAGTACTCTATCCATTCCTACTGCTGTCGTTCCTCGGCTGTCCGCTCTCAACTCGCATGGTGAAAATATCTCGTGTCGGACGGGATGATCGGGGACCGTCACGTGGGGTGGAGCCGTGAGCACGAAGCAGTGTCCACGTCGCTTTCGGCCTGCCGTGCACGCTGCTTGCTCGCCTGCTCCGGATGTCTGGCACGGCAACGGCTGAACGGCATGGCGTTGAGGCGACAGAAGATTAGCAGGAAATGGACTTGTTTGGTTTGGACGTTTGGTGAACACTGAACACCCGTAAAAGTACCATCCGCACAAAGCAAAAGCGCCTGCAAACAAGCTGTCGTAAATGGTAAATTCGGCAGATAAGTCCAAAGCATTGCATTCGGCCAGTTTAGCTGTTTCTGTTGTCCTGGTACAGTTTGGCCGCTTTCTCTTGTCCTTGTTTACTGTATATACACCTGTACTATTACGTTATTCCAAGCAAGGGAAGTGACACTTGATGCTGAATGCGTAGGTAGGTGGTCGATCTTTCTCAGTGAACAGAACACTGCACGGACTTGGAGACGATCGGTGGCCGGCGATCGTCTTATGGCAGAGGAAGTAGAATAACAGACTGCAAGTAAGCTTCATGCTGAAATTATAGGAAAGAGAAGAGCGGAGAGAAGAAAGGTGGCTGTAAGTTTTCAGCTAGCATATGCACAAACTTTAACAAATTTTTCTGAGATAAGAAAATGAGTCATGTATTAATAATGAAAAAAGCTAACTACTATATAAGTCGGCTGAGAGATATGTTGCAAAGGTCTATATAACAAGCAAGAAGCTATATTATTAGGCGACAGAAGATTAGCAGGAAATGGACTTGTTTGGTTTGGACGTTTGGTGAACACTGAACACCCCTAAAATTACCATCCGCACAAAGCAAAAGCGCCTGCAAATAAGCTGTCGTAAATGGTAAATTCGGCAGATAAGTCCAAAGCATTGCATTCGGCCAGTTTAGCTGTTTTCTGTTGTCCTGGTACAGTTTGGCCGCTTTCTCTTGTCCTTGTTTACTGTATATACACACTGTACTATTACGTTATTCCAAGCAAGGGAAGTGACACTTGATGCTGAATGCGTAGGTAGGTGGTCGATCTTTCTCAGTGAACAGAACACTGCACGGACTTGAAGACGATCGGTGGCCGGCGATCGTCTTATGGCAGAGGAAGTAGAATAACAGCCTGCAAGTAAGCTTCATGCTGAAATTATAGGAAAGAGAAGAGCGGAGAGAAGAAAGGTGGCTGTAAGTCTTCTGACTTGGCAACCGCCGCAACGCGACAAGCGCCACCTGCTTTGCTGCCGCGTGCTTGCGTGCGTCCACCACTGCCGCACCGCGTCCGCCGCCCCTGCCTCTCCACTCCACTTGCTCACTCGCGTCCTGCTTCCCCCCGCCCGGCTACGCCGCGACGCCAAGGGATGGATGCGCTCCGCCTACGGCCGTCCCTCCTCTCCACCGCGCGTCCCGGCGCCGCCCGCCCGCGAGGTGAGTGAGTTCCCTTCCCTTCTCCAGTCTCCACGGGCACAGACTGTGACTGCGCGTGATGGGAGAGCGCCGTTCAGAACCTGGGTTACAGGGCTACAGGCTTAGTACTATTGAGCTGGATATTTAGTTCGGCAGATTAGTCGTGTATACTCTCGTAGCCATAAAGACCGCAGCCGGGATGCTTATGATGCGCTTTGGTGTGCGAGTATTCCTTTGCTCTTTTCCAATCGAGAGAGATGACAGGGCTCGTTCTGTCCTGTGGGCTGTGGGGTCTGGAATTAGTGGGAAAATGATGCAGGAGCAGTTATAGTGTCTGATATTAATGTCCTCTTTTTTTTGAGAGATAGGAGTGTCTGGTATTAATGTCAAAGTCGATTTCGGTAGGAAAAATGGTTAGATTTGGGATTTGATACTGTTATAGACAGCTCAGTCTTAAAAATGATGTGTTACTTCTGGGGAATCAAGCCGGGCTATGGTGGTGTAGTCCAATTTCACGTTTTAAAGGTAGGGGATGAGAATTAAAATGTCAAAAACTTACAGGGATTTTGGTTTCTGTTGATTCTGATTTTATCAAGATGATTACATGTACAAGGGGGAGTTACAATAACTATAGTTTTGAAATTCCCTTTTGTTAGTTCTATCAAATTAAGATCTTCCTTGTTTTGGGTGGAATGAAGGTTATTTGTACGTGGTGGAAACGAAAATGATGATTATTTGTAAACTAAGGGCATGTGTAAGCTTCAAGTAAATGTTTTACTTGTGACCTTGTTGGCTAGTTCATGGAAAGAGACATTTATTAACAGTTTCTCGATGCCTAAAAGTGCCTCCAGTTTTCTGCTCATAATTTTACTGACTGTAAAATACAAAAAAAAAAAAATTGCTGAAATAATCAAAAGCAGTGTTACCCCAAAATTCCAGACTCCCATGTAGACTGTAGTAAGGGAAGCGCTTCAAATTTCCTTTTCTTCTTTGTCTAATTCCAGACTCCCATGTAGACTGTAGTAGAGGTCTAGGGGAAGCACTTGAAGTTTCCTTTTCTTCTTTGACTAATTCCACACTCCCACGTATACTGTAGTAGTAAAAGGTGCAACGTGCATGGTTTGTCAGACTAATTAGTATGCTGATGTCGAACTTATTGGTCACTCATTATTTCATTTCATTCTGGGTGAATTTTTTTCCTTGTTACCTTCTGTAGTGCTTGGCCTAGTATTGAAATGTTTGAATTTCCAGATCATTTTCTACCACCATGTTGTTCCATCCAACAAAATGGTGAAGGGCGAATTTGCTTTTCTAGCCAAAGGACCCAAGGTCCTGCCTTGTATCACCATCAGAAATTCTTCGATTGGAAATCCTCCTATTGTAGGATATCACGTCGGTCATTAAATACTTCTGTTAATGCTTCGGGGCAACAGCTGCAGTCTGAACCTGAAGCACATGATTCTACAACCATCTGGAGGGCAATATCATCTTCTCTAGATGCATTTTACAGATTTTCCCGGCCACATACTGTCATAGGAACAGTTAAGTCATGTTGCTGTACTATTTCATTTAGATGAACCTCCAATAAGTATGTTCTTTTGTTTCCTCTTCATTGATCAAGAGATTTCGCTGGTGTAAGCAGGCATTAAGCATAGTCTCAGTTTCCCTTCTAGCTGTCCAGAACTTGTCTGATATATCACCTTTGTTCCTCACTGGTTTGCTGGAGGTAGTGAAACTTTGAGCATCTCTATCCTTTCATTACCAGCAAGACTTATTGTTTCATGGTGCTTCTTTGTACACTTATGTAGGCAGTGGTAGCTGCCCTTTTCATGAATATCTATATTGTTGGACTGAACCAGTTATTCGACATTGAGATAGACAAGGTATTTTGAATTCACTGTAATCTCCATTAAGTAAGTACCTTTTACTACCATATTAATAACTGCTAGGAGCTAATGTTTGTACTTCTCCAGGTTAACAAGCCAACTCTTCCATTGGCATCTGGGGAATACACCCCTGCAACTGGGGTTGCAATAGTTTCGGTCTTTGCTGCTATGGTAACTATGCTCTCCGTATGGAAGAAATTGGCATTGTGCTTCATGTTGTATTTTGACCTCACTTTTCTGGATATATTGATACTGAGACGCCTAAAGTAGTATGTAAAATTAAATGGTATGCTCTTTGGAGTATTCCTATTAAAGTTGTAGAAAGGTAGAAAGCAATAGGGAAAACACCACGCACCCCTAGGTTTGGGTGACCTTTAATTATATATCTGGGATACAGCTTCTGTTATAACAAACGTACAATACAACTATACAAGCCATAGTCAAACTCTATCTCTAACAGAAGAATCGAGTATTAATCTTTGTAAATAATGGTGCTCTCAATCTCAGACATATTTCAAGGGAAAAAGTTTCAGTATTAAGGACTCTGAAATAATTGGTGCAAAATGACAATAATTGATTAAGCAATTGGAAGTCTTCGTCGATTTTTCGACTTCTAAATTTCTAATGAATTATGAGTATGTATTGTAAAATTGTAGTTCTAGGATCTCCATTTACTAGGTTATGTGAAACAATTAGATTTAGTCACTTATGTCAATGGTTGTGTAGATTTGCGCTAATCCTGATCAGGACCTTCAAAAGCTATCCTGAAATTCTTCACTGATAGTCTATCAGACTGATTCAACAGAATGTGCCATGTGTATTGCAGAGCTTTGGCCTTGGATGGGCTGTTGGATCACAACCTCTGTTTTGGGCTCTTTTCATAAGCTTTGTCCTTGGAACTGCATATTCAATCAATGTAAGAGCTCGTGTCTTTGGGCCCAGTAGTGCTAGTTATCAAACTAGGTATAAGTAATGATTCCTTGCTCGTTTATGGGATTTATTAATGTTATTGATGGTTCATTGGTTCTCTTGTGCATTGCAAAGGATTTTTTTTATGTAAACTGCAATATAATTTTTTAATGAATATTTCATTTGCCTTCTGTAAGAACTTATTTTCCACTTCTAAGTAAGAGTAAAGTTTGGTTTTGTTTCAACGACAGTGTTGAATGACTCGAACGCAAACAGGCAAGTTTGCCGACTCCAGCAATAACACAGTTAAACAGCTTGACTACAGGAGAAACATTAGACACTTCGAACTAACTGCTTCATGTCTAGGGAAAACTCATTTTTCAATTATAGAAGCACCAAGTAATTAAATGCTTACACAATCCATCCTGCTTTAACTTTCACATATCTTGAAAGGTGATGCAAACTGAGAGGCATCTGTAATTGGATCCGAAGACTTAAATGGGCTTTACAAATTTAACTGCTGAAGCATGTGACCCACATGTCTCAACGTAGATGGGCCAGAATGGACCATGGAGAGAAAATAAGGTTTGAAAATGAACCATAGCCCAAATCAAAGGTGGCAGTATGGTACTATTCACTTCAAAGAACATGTGGTAGTTTTAGATAGTCCTGATTTTTCTTAAATGTTCTACACCTTGGACATATGTATTAAGGGACATTTTTTTTTCTTCATTGGAAGAACATGGGCAACTTCTTTAAAAGTACATGAACAAATTCTGTAACTTATCATGCCTTTTCTGGCATTATTTTTATCATTTAAGATAGTACCAATTTTTGTGTGCAGCAGTTGTCACTACTTGAATTACCCAAAGAAACTGTAATTTGTCTTTGGTCTTTACAGCTGCCATACCTTAGATGGAAGAGATTTGCTGTTGTTGCAGCACTCTGCATATTAGCAGTTCGTGCAGTGATTGTTCAGCTGGCTTTTTTCCTCCACATTCAGGCAAGTCTTCCTGTGGTGTCTTTGAAATTCTCATGTGGACTTTTCTTTGAAACTCAAATGATAACTGCAGCGAATGGTTTGGGTTGTCTATTTCCTGAGTCCTATCCTAACAGTCTGTCCATAATCTACCAGACTTTTGTTTTCAGAAGACCGGCGGTGTTTTCTAGGCCATTAATATTTGCAACTGGATTTATGACGTTCTTCTCAGTTGTAATAGCACTATTTAAGGTAATAGCGAGTCGTATGGAACATAACTCCTTATGATATCTAGCAAAAGTTTTGTCTGCTCTGATATCCACTCTAAATCTTGATCACTCTGTGCACTATCTTAATGCTGTATATTCATCTGCAAAGACTGAATGAAGTTTGCCATGTCTTGTAGGATATACCTGATATCGAAGGGGACCGCATATTCGGGATTCGATCTTTCAGTGTCCGGTTAGGTCAAAAGAAGGTTAGTAGGGTAAAATAAATGTTAAGAGAGCTAACACACTGGAGTCCTGGAAATACTGATACGAACCTGCATACAGGTCTTCTGGATATGTGTTGGCCTGCTCGAGATGGCTTACAGCATTGCAATACTGATGGGAGCTACTTCTTCGTCTTTGTGGAGCAAAACAGCAACTGTATGTGCCACTGGTTTTTCTCCTAGTATTCCACAGCAATTCCAATGAACGGTTTTATGATTGGCTAATAATGAATGGGTCCGAGCTTCTGTGTGAGCAAGACTGCAAGCACATGTGGTTTCTGCAGTACTACTCGTTCTGCATCAACATAATTAGATTACTTTAGCTTCACCGTTTCCAATATTATATTATATTCGATGCCAATAATTGAAAAGAATTCGCCCGCTTTAGCTCGATCGTTATGAATCTTTGTTTTCCATTTTGTTACAAAACTTCCATGACACATTTTGCAGATTGCTGGCCATTCCATACTTGCTGCGATCTTATGGAGCTGCGCGCGATCGGTGGACCTGACGAGCAAGGCGGCAATAACATCCTTCTACATGTTCATCTGGAAGGTAAGCCTCGCCTCCATTCCCGATCGTTGGCCCAGTTACCTCTTCCTCTTTTAAAATTGAAACTCCTTGCCGTGTGGTGTGGTGCCTACTGTCCTGCTGCCCAGCTTAATCACCCTCACGATCTGTCTGCACCCCCCTTGAATGAAATCCCGAAACCGTTAAACCGCGTTGATCAGTTACTGACCATTTACTCCCCACGTGGCTCCGCAGCTGTTCTACGCGGAGTACCTGCTCATCCCTCTGGTGCGGTGAGGCGTGTCAAGGCGTGGCGAGGCGATGCGATGGATCGGCGGGTGCCGGGGCAACAACTCCACGGCAGAACTTGAGTGCTGGAGTAAACTCCCGTTTCAAAGTTGAAGCATGCACCGGGCAGGCGGTCGATGGATGGCTACGGATGGCGCCCAATAAAATTCCCACGTGCTTCCGTGGAGTACTACTTACCACTGCACGCTAGTACTTGATGACATCCCATATGTCCGGGGTGACCTGACCTGATCGTCTCTGCCAAGAGATTGCACAACGTCCAGCGCCCATCGTACCGGAGGTAACTAGACCAGGTGTGCTGTTAGCCCGTAGGCCTTGCTACCACTGCCAGTACGTTCATCTGCGCCTTGACTTGTGCAGTGGGCGTGTAGCTAGCAGTGCATGAATATGAATGTATGGTGCGTCACGGCCTGACGGTTCGTCAGTCTGGGCCGTGTTACTTCTGTCCGAAAAAGATCGCCTGTCAGAGATCCGCATTGACCGCGATACGTGGGCTACCTCAAATTTCACTACTCCCGCCCCACATCGATCGCATCGTGTTTAGACTGTTAGCATCCGGTACGTACGTGTATCTGCCGACTGCTGCGGCACTCACCCGGAGATACCTAAGTCCACGCGCATTCAACGCAATACATCACACATGGAGGCTCTCTCGTCTGGCACGTCAAATTTTTTTTGGCTTCGTTTAGATCCATTGGTCTCTTAGCAATCTAATCAACTAATGTCATTTTGTGAGGTTGACTAAATTTAAGAGAGATGAGAGCTCAAGAGCTACTCCCTCTGTCCCAATAAAAATGTCGTTGGAGCGCTCGACACGTCTACCAAGACCGAAGGGAAATGACCAGAATGCCCCTAGCATGTTCTTCTCTCTCCGTTCCTCTGTTCTCATCCAGAGTGGAGGCGCCGACGGTGACTGGCGACATCTCCGGCAACCACTCGTGCCTGCCCCTCGTGCTCGCCCTCACCGGTGGGAGAGAAGAGGAGGGCGCTGTCAGAGATCTCTGGGTGGATCCCGGTCGGTTCCGCATCGAGCGGCGCAGGGGAGGCCGTGACCCGCGCCACCGGTCTTCTCGCGTCACGCGCCACCAGGGAGGCACAACCCGCCCGGTCGCCCGCCGCCGCTCAATCCCGGACGGATCCATCGACTCTGGCCATGTTTGCTCTTGTTTGTAGGCTACGCTCTGTATATTTTTAAATTCTCTTTCAACCTGTTCGCTTGTTGGTTTCAGCCAGAGCTTATTAGTCAGCCAACAGTGTTTTCCTCTCACAACAAACCAGCATCAGTCGGATTTATCAGCCCAGAAACCAACCAGCGAACATGCCTTTTGTATCTGGTCTATTGAAAGATAAAACACCTGCCGATTTGCTTAACAAAAACTCCCGTGATGACCAGTATAGGAGTAATGTACTATGTACACACTGACGGGTGGTCCGGCCCTCTATTTACGGCGGTGGCCAACGAGCAGCACCGCTCCCGCTCGGGATCAGCGCACACGGGTTCCCATGCCCTTAACTCGCCTCTGCGAGCGGAATTACCGTGCGCCTGCACAAACACAGGCGGATGATGATATCTTGACCTGCTGCTGGTAGCCGCGGCGTCGTGGCCTGCTCCGGGTACAGCCTGGCCGGCTCCAGTTTGGGAGGAGGAGGATTTTTTGTATCTGCACCGGGGCACGGTGGAATGAACGGGGAATGTAGCATCATCCGGACGACCAGACGCTCGAGAATGCAATGGTGCTGGCGTTGCTCAAGGTTTGTCGTCGTCTCGTCTCACGTCTCTATTACTATCAGTGATTAGTGTGCCGTTGGCATCGGCATGCACGTACGGTTGCGTCAAGGCTGCCAATACCACCAACGAGAAACCCACAAGTGAATGTGATAACGACTTAACGAGCCACGGAACAAAGAGGCAGCCGGCAGCCGGCAGCCGGCAGCGCCTGCCGTGGACGATGTCTCTCCCTCGTCTCCCCTGCGCGATTTTGCTGCCGGCGCCGGTTGACATTTGCATGATTCGGTGCAGTACCAGTGTACCACGACCACGATTCTTAGAGAGTGACGCCGTCCATAAATGATAAATCTCAGTACCCGTGCAGCCGTACCAGCCAGCCAGCTGCATGCACGCATGCCCCCACCGCACGTGACGAGTGCACCCAACACGTTGCGCGCACTCACGTACGCGCCCGATCGACGGCCCGAGCCACTGCCGTCGTCCTCGCCCATGCTTTCCTGATTAAACGACCGACCAGTCGACAACGACGCGCGCGCGCACACATAAAAATTGTACAGCAACGATCAGAACTCAGAAGCGACACGACACACAGAGACACGACGCGACTCGTCCTGGTTCCGAGCCGTCTGATCGAGATCAGGCCGTTCTGAGTTCTGGCCGGAGCGAGCGAGGCGGTTCCCCCGGCGGACGGAGCACGGTGACGATGATGATGAATGAATGAAAGTAATATAAAAGGCAAAAATAAAAGTAAAAATCCGACCGAGCACGTGACGCGGGGGCTTCGCTAAACCCGTCCCGAATCCCAGCCACGTGGGATCATCAAAGTGCATCAAGCCGCCGGCGGGCCGGGCGGGGCCACTGGGCCGCAGCCTGCAGGACATCCTGGGCCAGTGGGGACGAGGCCGTAGTAAATGGAAGGCTCCATCAATGCTCCGGCCCGGGGACACCTCAGTTACTGGCCCGCCTCCGCTCCGCTCCGCTGGGACGGCTGCCGGATCCCACCACCGTACGGCCCCGGTCTCCCCGCACAGTTCCGCGATCTCCGACGTCCGACCTGAGGTGAGTGCACGTGAACCCAGTGACGGACATAGGTTTTTATCTCTGGTACGCGCAGAAAAAAATTTCTTATGTAATTCGATAAACCCCAACAAAAAAAAAATTTACATTGAAAAATTCTACCTATCTCTATGACTGGCGGACCCCAGGGTATGCGGTGGCCCACCCTGCATACCCTGTGGGTCCGTCCCTGCGTGAACCCCCCGGATCACCCACCACGCGAATCAAATCATCTGCCGCCTCCGATTGCCCACATTACGTGGAATCCATGTTTATTGTTTCCCGCTGACTGATCTAGGGTCTTCAGTTGCATTGGTGCAACCTGAAATGGGACCTTCGTTTCACCAACCATTCTTGTCTGAACACTGTGCCACATTATAAGTGTGAAAAAGGGGCAACATTAGAATATACTATATGCGATTAGAAAATAATATGTTATTAGATTCGCTTACGCATTAAACACTTCGACTAATGGGTCGAGCAAAGAAAGTGCCTTTTTCTTTGAGTCCCACACCTTATACGATTTCTTTTAATGGTCATGTTCGCTTTTCTTATAATCCGTCTTTTTCAGCTTGTTTTTTCAGCCGGAACAATATTTTTCTCTTACAGCAAATCTACCGGAACAGTGTTTCGGCTTATTTTTCCAGCGAAGCGAACGGGGCCAATATCGACAACAATAAAGATGAAATGGTTGCTGCAATCATAAAACCCTAGTTAACGAATAATCATAACTACAAAAAAACAAGCATAAAAATAAGAGCAGAGAACACATACTTGCAGTTGTAGGCTAGAAGTATTTCGGTTTTATTACTCATCTTGAAATTTTTGAAAATGGCAGTCAGTGTCTCCGTCAGATATTCCACTTTATTTCCATGTATTCCTTCGCATGTTCTCTCGTTGACTAGCTCGGGGTCCAAGAAAGACATATGAGCGTACTTTGTTTTGAAGCAATATTTTGCTACACACCTGTATAATTCATGGGAAATGTGCAGTCGTTAACTATTTATGTATCGAGAGAGTAGTTAATTATAATATCGTGCGAGTAGGGTACTTACATAGTCCACAGCGTCAACATTTGTGTATCGAGATCGCATCTCTGGAATAGCTAAAACAAGTGATCACAACCGACAAAGTGCTTCTCTTCATTACGATAATGGAAAACATGCGACAGACGGATAATATATTCGAAACCCGCCTACCCCGTCTCAAGTGCTTGGGCCACGTAATAATCATGGAAGTCCCGCATATATGTTGTCAAATTTTTATACTCCTCGTCCACCAAGAAATTGCCTCTTTGAAACTGTATTACCGGTCTTGCCGTCTCATATGCTAGTGAATCATAATAGATGTTCGCGACATCATCCCTACTTAATCCGAGGTTGTCTTCGACAATCTTGTTTATCTTCCTTTAATCTTCATGGTGTATTTCTTCGACTCTTAATTGATTGTGCTTACTCTCTGTTTGCCTATTGAATTCGGACTACACCCTCCACTTAGGCAATGAGGCAAACAGATTCTAGAATCTAACTTTGTCTTCTTTGGAGGCTACTTCTGGCTTTTGTTGGTTCATCAAGTTTGTAACGCTGCCATTCATCGTCATTTTCTTTTTTTGTTAGTCCACTTTGGGAGCATTAGTGACCGAATCCGAGGATCTTTTCTGTGGCTGCGAGGATGCCTTAGATCTTGTTTTGGGTTGTTGTGGAGGAGGAGGACAAGAATTATGTTTTCTCGAGGGTGATAAGAGGGAGGAGGTGGAGGAGGAGTCTTCTCTTTTCTTAGGGCTAATGAAGATGGAGGACGAGGAGGAAGAGAAGACTTCTGTCTTCTTGGGGTGATGGCAAGGAACCAGGGAAGGTAGTGTGATCTCCTCTGTTGGGAGATGGTAAGTGATCATCTCTGGGCGGCGAAGATTCGCCGTCGTCCTTATCATCATCCGAAGACAACAGGTGATCAAGCTTAATAAAGCGCTTGCACTAGGCCACATGAGTGCCCTTGTTCTGAACAAGACGTTGCCTATCTTCCTATGCAGGGTAATCAATGTGCATCTTGTTATACATCTTATCAAGTATAGTATCAATGCTGACGTGGGCATACCCCATTGGAATTGGGCGGCCATTAATGGTCCCGTCTCCCGCAGGCCAGGCCTGGCAGACCACCACCTTGTTAGTTGTCCATTGCTGATGGATGTACAGCCTGACATTGA